TAAGTATTTGTATTTCATGAATTATATTATTGTATTTGGCTGCAGCCCTCAGATAGATTTTCATTTTGTATTAGGGCCACACAACCAATTTTTTTTATTATTATTACAAGATTAAAGTTATAATATTACAAGATTAAGGTAATAAAGAGAATAAAGTCGTAATATTTCGAGAAAAAAAAATCATAATCTTACATGACGTGTCCATTTTCCATTCCTCATTTCCTCCTTATTTTCCTCACACCTTCTGTGGACAGCCATGTTTATAAAGTAGTCTGTGATGATTTGGGTCACTTAGATTAATATGCCTTCATCCAAATCAGCTACATGCTGACTATCTGTCAAGACAGCTTCAGTTTATCAGAGTTGTTTGCACAATTTCCAAGTCCTGCTACTACTGATAATTTGATGCGAACGCGTAAAAGATTACTTATTTATTTTAAGCAATACTAAAGAACAACTTGACAAGTTGCTCAACATTCCTCATTTTAATGCAGTGATAACTGCATGCTTTTTCATGTAAAGGCTAGAATATAATGACTTTAATCTAGTAATATTATGACCTTTTTCTCATAACATTACGACTTCAATCTCGTAATATTATGACTTTATTTTTATACGACTTTGTCGTAAATTATGACTTTATTCTCGTAATTTAAAAAAAATCTCATTGTCTGGCCCTAATACTCCATCATATGTTTCAGACTGATCCATCTCTTTAGTTATTTTGTTCCATTTTACCTTTTAATATATTTATTTTTAATTTTGTGCTCTTTTTTTTTTACCAGTTTTCATGGATATTGACTCTTGTTTGGGGGTCAGTACAGGCTTGATGGAATAACAGGAGAAGAGGTCTACTCACTCAGGACTGACCTCTGCTTCAGCTGCTGTTTTAACCTGCAGATTGTCTCTACTGCACCTGGCCTCACACAAAGACCCGCCCTGCTCTGCTCTGATTGGATAAAACGGCTCTGGGGTTGGCCTGATTTGCTGAAAGCAGTGTTCAAATGCTGATACAGGATTAAACAAACCCGCCACCCCTCCTTGAACGTCTGGTCACACTAGTGCAACCGGAAAAGTTTTCTAGTCGTACTATTAAGAAATCAGGTCACATTTGTGACCAAACTGGCTGAAAACTAGAGCCCTGAAATGTGATTAATTAAGACAACTTACCTCTGTTCTGAGCTGACTGACTTCTGACCCCAGCAGAACTGCTGATTGTTGCTCCGACTCCGTCAGAGGCTCAGCCTAAGAAATGAAAATAAATAAATTATAAATGTAATAAATGAGGTGTATATTTCATTGTTTTTAAGTACTATATTTATGTGAGATTTCTTCTTTCAGCCATATTCAAATATAAAATCTCAATTGACTGGTTTCAATTTGACTGATAAATTTTGTTTTTAATAAAAACAAACTTGTCAGTAAATCAAGCTAAAATATAAAAATCCCAAATGTTCATTTATTACCGCCACCTAAACAGATAGTTCTGGTGCTAAAGCTACACATAT